CTCTTCTCCTTCCCTTTCTCTTTCGAATCTAACATATGTACATAACTCGATACTTACTTGTTGTGAATCTCTGCAAAAATGTTTTCGATTTGACTCAGATATGAGTGGTCAGATAACTTGCAATGACCGAACCAGAACGTATTGGACCCCAACGATGGAGCGTTTCTTCATAGATCTTATGTTGGAACACTTGCACAGAGGTAACAGAACCGGACACACTTTTAACAAGCAGGCTTGGAACGAGATGCTCACTGTTTTCAACTCCAAATTCGGGTCTCAGTACGATAAAGACGTATTGAAAAGCCGGTACACGAATCTCTGGAAGGTTTATAATGATGTCAAGAGCCTTCTTGATCATGGTGGCTTCTCTTGGGATCAGACTCTTCAAATGGTCGTTGGAGACGACACTCTATGGAGTTCCTATCTCAAGGTTTCTTTTTCTTGGATTCACCAAATTCTAAAAATCAATTCTTTTTCTTTTGTTGAATTTGATATATGTGCTTGTGATTGTGATTTTTACAGGCTCATCCGGAAGCGCGTGCGTACAAGACGAAACCGGTGTTGAATTTTAATGATTTGTGCTTAATCTATGGGTATACGGTTGCAGATGGGAGATACAGCAGGTCAAGTCATGATACAGAGTTTGAGGATGAGATCGATGGAGTCAACATTGGTGTGTTTCTTGCTCTTCTTGGGACTGGTTACAATGCGGGTTTTTTTTTTTAAGATGAGTGGTTTATTGTATGCTGCTACTCCGGGTTTTGTAGGTGAAAGTAGTGGCAATCTTGTTCACTTGAGTAAAGAAAGCTCGAAAACTGAGTGGACTCCGGTAATGGACCAATACTTCATTGAGCTTATGCTTGATCAAATCGGAAGAGGTAACAAGACTGGTAATGCTTTTAGTAAACAAGCATGGACAGATATGCTTGCTTTGTTCAATGCTAGGTTTACTGCTCAATATGGGAAAAGGGTTTTAAGGCACCGCTACAACAAGTTGTCGAAATACTACAAGGATATGGAAGCTATTTTGAAAGAAGACGGGTTTTCGTGGGATGAAACTCTGCAAATGATATCTGCGGATGAGGCCGTTTGGGATTCTTACATCAAGGTTTGAATTCTTAGGCTATTATTCCCCCTGTGAATAATCTTTGATCTTCACTCCGTCAGTTTAAATCTAGATGTGATGAGGCAGGAGCACCCACTTGCTAGGACATATAAGATGAGATCTTCTTTACCGAGCTACAAGGATTTGGACATAATATTTGCCTGTCCAGCTGAGCCAGAGATATTACCCCTTCCAGTCCAAGACAAAAATCTCAACGATGATGGCTCCACTGCACAAATGAGTGAGTTAAATCTTATTCAGCAATAAAGTTTTGGATTTACTCTGATCATGATAGATGCCAAAAACAGAAAAACCTTTGCTTCTCAGATGAGATTAAGGCCAGACAGGTGCACAATTCTGATCGTTCAAGGACATTTTGGACTCCGCCAATGGACCACTATCTAATAGACTTGTTAGTAGACCAAGTGAACAAAGGGAACAGAGTTGGGCAGACTTTCATAACAAGTGCTTGGAATGAAATGGTTGAAGCATTCAATGCCAAGTTCGGGTCTCAACACAGCAAAGACGTTTTGAAGAACCGGTACAAACACTTGAGGAGGTTGTACAACGACATAAAGTTTCTTCTCGAGCAAAATGGGTTCTCGTGGGATACAAGGAGAGATATGGTGATTGCAGATGATGGCATATGGAATACCTATGTACAGGCATGGCACCTTCTTTCCCTTTTAAGATATCAGTTATATGGTTGTGCTTAATATAAATGATGTGTCTGCAGGCACATCCAGAAGCTCGATCGTATCGAGTTAAAACAATTCCAATTTATCCAAACCTTTGCTTCATTTTTGGGACGGAAATGTCGGATGGGAGATACACACGCTTGGCTCAAGCTTTTGATCCAAACCCCGCAGAAACTGTGCGGATGATCGGTAAGCTTCCCTATAGCACAGTATATGAAATTGAAGAAAATGTGAAGCTAACTGATAGAAAAACTCATTATATGAGCTTTATCTAAGTTTTGTAACTGCAACATTGTTCTCGCTATCTCCTTGTGATTCATTAAGCTGGTATGTGAGATTAGAGATGCATAAGTGATTGACAGATGATCCTTTTGTACTTAAGCCTTTTATATGAATCCTTCTCAGAAAGTGGAAGCACAGACGGATTAAAAGATACTATGGGAGAAACTCACAGTTTCCAGATGATTCATGCCAGTGACGAGAAAAATGATTATCTCTGTAGCAATACTGGTCCTCCTTGTATAGAATGGACACGGGTCATGGACCGCTGTCTTATTGATCTTCTGCTAGAGCAGGTGAATAGAGGAAATAAGATTGGTGAGACATTCACAGAGCAAGCTTGGGCTGACATGGCAGAATCCTTCAACGCAAAGTTCAGATTGCAGACTGACATGTTCATGCTGGAGAATCGTTATATATTGATGTTGAAAGAGCGTGACGACATCAACAATATACTCAATCTTGGTGGCTTTGCTTGGGATGGGGAGAAGCAAACCATTGTTGCAGAAGATGAATATTGGGACACATATATCAAGGTAAGGCTGGCTAACTAATGACTTGGAATTGTGTCTTAGCTTTCTTCTTATTTTAACTATGCCAGATAAGATAAGTTGATACTAAGCCAGAACACTATTCTATATCGATGTTGTCTTCAGGGAAATTATAAGCTGTGATTCAAAGCTATTAGTGTCTACTTTTGCAGGAGCATCCAGATGGAAGCATATATAAAGGTAAAACTTTAGATAGTTATGGTGATTTGTGCAAGCTATACGAACATGTCTCACAAGAAAGCTTCAATTGTGAGAATCTCATGATCGAGTTGGAAAACTATGGCCATGAGATTGATATAGTTGACGACTTTAGTTTACCCCACAAGCAGCATAGCAAGCGAACCAACCCAACAACTTCACCTCTGGAACTCATTGTACATAAGGCTCAGAAGACCGGAAGAGAGACAAGGAAGCCTCTGTGTGAGACAGAAGGTGATGATAACGATTGCAAGAAGCCCATGTCCCTGAACGATATGCACTCAAGAATAGGAAATGCCATTGATGCATTGCAAGCTTTGCCTGACATGGATGATGAGCTTCTACTAGATGCTTGTGATCTTTTGGAAGATGAGAGAAAATCAAAGACGTTTTTGGCTTTAGATGTCTCTTTACGTAAAAAATGGCTAGTAAGAAAGCTTCGTCCTTCGGCTAACTAAGGCCAGTGTGTCTCTCTTTCAACAAAACAAACGACTAAGATAAAACCCAGATTTTGAGCACAACAGAAGAAAAGCTTCAGTAATGCTAGGTCTTGTAAAATTATGTCGTAATCAAAAGCACAGTTTCTACTATATGCAGAGGTTGCGTAGGTCTGAACATAAACATGGACATCCTCAGTTGCTATGAACGATGGCTGAGAAAAGTAACTTATTGATGTCTTCTTTATCTGCCTCCTCTGTCTCACCCACTGTAACAAGAAGTGTAATCTAGGTTAAAAAAAAAACAATACTACAACAGATTTAAGAGCTTGATGATCTACAGGAATTGCGAGGGATAAACAAACACAGATTATTTATAAGCTCGCATGACATTTAATGGCTTGTTGTGGTTACCTGTTCTTGATCTAACTTGCATTGTCCACTCGTTGATGATCTGTTGAAAATCAAATGGATTAGAGAAAGATTTTTTTAAGCCACTCCATATGAGGATGCTCCATGTGCATTTTGATTTTAAGGTATCAAATTGGCAATCGGGTATTGAGTTGGACTGGCAAGGTTAAAACTCTTCTTCCAAAGGAATTTACTTGCACGGTTAATGTTCTTGCTGTGATCCCAATTTTTACAACATGGAAATTGCACAACCTTGAGAAAGCATTGAGCAATAATGACAACACTGAAACTCCATTGCATTCCCAAGGAGGAAAAGAACACCAACCTGATTAAAATCAGCCAATGCATCATCCGCATGGCTATTTGTTGATTCTCCCAAGGATGTATTCATTTTCTGAATAAGGTTGTAGTTTCCAACTAGTGTTGTATGTGCCTTGTCAATCAAATCCTGTTAAAACACAACAAACTAGTGTATTACAATTCATACAAATGTAACAATCAAACTCTGTTTAAAGGCATAGTAGCTTGTAATAAAATGTCGCAGCAGATCTGACCCCTTTGATCCAAGAAAATATATCCTTCCTTCTTCTACAGACTCTGTTAGCTAATTTACAATCCCCAGATTTCAATTAGTCATTTCCAGAGGAACAAACGAACCTGTTTAGCGGACAATAGCTCTAGGCATTGGTCTTTGAGAACGGTCACATCTTCCTGCAACTTTTTGATTCTCTGAATCAGCTTCATCGGATTTGCCTAGGACCCAAAACCCAAAACCAAGCATGCCCATAAGATTACATCGAATTTGTAAAATTTGAGAATTCGGGATTATATTCAGATTGTAAGAAAAAAAAGCGGAATCGAATTGCTTACATTATCAGGATAGATCTGGTGGAATTCCTTGTCGAGCTTGGAATGGACAGCAGTAAGATCATGAGAAGCTCTTGCGAGAACATTTATCAGATTATCTACAGCTTGATGATGATGATTTTGACTCATCTTCTCTCTCGATTTCACTTTGTGCTTTCCCTTAGGGTTTATCTATATCTTCCCGCCTCTTTTCACCCAAAGAAGAGCAAGCAGTTCTTGTGTAAACTTTAACAATAACACGACGTGTGTGAGCGAACCGAACCGTATTGAGATTATCAACACAAAACCAGACCAAATTTCATATAATCAAATTACAGTTTTTATACTATAAATTTCATGAAGCTTAGATAAACCAAAATTTTGTTTTTAACGAAATTTTAAATAAAATACAAAAAGGTCAATTTGTGAAATAGCAAATTA